CTGCTGCTGCTGCTGCTTCATCTCATCTCGTTTTCTACAATCAGACTCATAAGCCTGAACAAGACCACGAGCACTTGCTTGCCTGCACCAGCCTTCAGTACAACAGTGAATCGTGGTCGTCATTCTCTTGCACACATACACCTGCAATATCATCAGCATCAATCATTTCGAATCTTCTGGTGTATAAAAGGTGCACGGACGATACGATAGTGTCAGGGTTGGTCGATTCGATCTAAAAGAGAGAAGAAGCACAAGCTCTTTGCCCAATTCATCCGTTCCGTCAGCCCATTGCCATTCCATTGCATCCATCTAAAATATTCTCATTCAGTCGAATCAGCTCATTGACTGCTTATCCAGCGGAGTGCTCACAGGTGGATGGCTGCAGCCTCACTCTTCACAGCCATCTACTTGGCTGTCATCTATCGCCTTACGATCAACTTAACCGAATTACCATATTCGAACGAACTACGACGTCCCGGCTCTACGGAATTTTTCAATGCCAACGATCAAATCGTCAAATCCTTTCAGCATCTGCTCAGACGAATTCCTGGTCATCATGAAGCATCGGTACTCGGTTACAGGTGTGTACAGCACTCTGATTGATTATCAGATAGTAACTTATTACTGTTAACGATGTAATCGATTGCTGTTGAAGTCAGCATGAGATTCACATTNTATCAGATAGTAACTTATTACTGTTAACGATGTAATCGATTGCTGTTGAAGTCAGCATGAGATTCACATTCATTCATAATACGCCATGATTTGAACTGAAACCTAGATGTATTAGGCTGCCGATAGGTTCACCATTAGAACATTCCATAGGTTCGTTATGAAGCTCCCATTAAGAATCAGCGATTCACGCAGAACATTAACTAGTATTGCCAGAATGGTAGACTAAAATTAATATGATTTGCAACTAACACTTTTGTTTGATTAATTTATCGGTATTCCGAAATCACCCACTTCAAACCATGGTTCCTTCAATAGTTTGTGTTTATGTCGTAGTCCGTGTGAACACAAAACGGCATGCAAGCACATCATTTTTCGCTTTTAAAATTTGAGAAAACGTTTTTTCGCTTTGAAATTCACCTTTCAAATGTCGCATTCCATCGTTTTGTTGTCATTTGATAGCAAACTATATTGAGCACATCAGGCTTATCACTCATAATCGTTCACTATTGACTGAAATTCGTTCTCAATTGCAAGAACTCTAAATTGCTAGAGGTATGTGAACTGGAAAACCGAATCGAAAATGAGCGTGTGTTTGCGGAATTTCTAGATATAAAATATCACACTAAGACGTTGAACTGGGGAGATTGAAGAGGGCAGAAACTCGGATGTGAGCTCAGCTAGTTGAGATACAGGTTCAGTTTTAAGAGTTTAACAGAGCTGAAACATTTTGACAAGTGATCAAATGTGTCACTGATTTGACATTGTATCTGTAGATACCATCAAGTGGTTGGTACTCTAGCCACTGTTGACATCTATTCGGATCGACCATC